TAGACATCTTGCTCAGCTACAGCAGAACTTTATTAATTTTCTTTTGTTCTCTGCCTCACAGGAAAGGAGTCCAGAGCCTATCACTGGTTGGCAAGCAATGTTTCAATGAGTTTATCCCTAACCCCTGCTTTTATGAGACAGAGCCTTGCTATTTAGTTCAAGCTGCCCTTGAACTTTTGGTGTACCCCAGACTGGCCTCAAACTCCTAATCCTTCAACCCTTGCCTCCTGATTTCGGGGATTATGATGCAATATCACCTCAATCTGCTATATGCACAGTTCTTGTGACCCTTTCCCCTTAAAAGCAATAGTTCAGAATAAAACGCTTCCAGTATGAAAGTCTTTATTTTCTTCCTCATTCAATTATCTGACCAACAAGATCAACTGAAGAAGTTCTTATTTTATGAAGGAAAATAAAGTGAGCAAACAACTGCTATTGGGTAAACATCAAAAGATGGACAAGAAAAATGTGAAATATCGTCTTTTTTTGTATTAATGATTGGTGCAGGGCTTTGTACCATCCCAGAGAGTACGAGATCATTTATACAGTAGTTTTTCAGAGGTGCTTTGGGGAGAGCCAGTTCTAGATTTCATCAGACTCTGCTCGATCATAAATATTCACCCGACTACATCATTGGCTGTTGCCTCCAATCTTCCTTCACTGAAAAGCTATGGAGAATGCCCTGTGTGCACAGCAACATTCCATGAGTTGTGGGAGCCGCAGAGACAACAGCTTGCATTAAAATATTTCCCCCCCATTTTCTTTGTACTCACACCAGGACTGCAAACATGGTAACGGCATACTCAACAAAAAAATAATAAGATGAAAACATACACGGTACAGAATCTGGACTTGCTCTCCTTTGGAATTTCTCTGGCTGGAGCCAGAGTAAATTCTATTTTTGCAGTAGGCAGATTGATTGATTCCAGGTCTACCATCTGTTTCTAGTCGATAAAAGTTTTAATTTCAAACCTTTTTTTTTTTAGATACTAGGCTAGCTGATAATCTGGCCATAAACAAACAGGGATTTGGCCTGAAAGCTGCCATTCCTTTGTATAAGGTCTTTATATGCCAGGAGATGATTATAGACCACCTACCAGCTTAAGGGACTGGAGTGGTGAAAGTCACAGAAAACATGTTTCTCAGTTGGCAATGATTCCCCCCACCCCCACCCCCGTTACAATCTCCTTGTGGTTTTGGTCAAAGCCCTTCTTTATGAACTTACCAAGTGTCTTTCTACATCTAAGTTAGACACACGGTACTACAAAAACATGAAGTGGAATATTACCAAGATATCAGTTCATTAATAACAACAAAAAGCAGAGAAAGTCCCGAGGAGCTGGCTCTCTACCTGTAATAAGGGAGAGGGTTTGAAACCACAAGTTGAAGTTGCCCATCTGCAGCTTGTCAGAACACTGCCTGCTGTCCAGAGGAAGATGAAGGGTTAACATGACCACGATTGAGACTCTGAGGAAGGTGAGTAAGAAGGCCTGTCCTTAGGTATGTGGTAAGCATGCTAGAAAGATGAGGGACCGGGCTCTGGGGTAGTGATTGCAGGCTGGCTGGTTCCCCGAGTCCCCTGAGGAACACATGTAGGCCAGACACTATTGTTCTTTCCTATATCCTTGTTCCCAGTGCATCAGCTGTGATAGACTAAATTGTAAGTGAGGATGGCTGCTAACAAGAAGAGACCATCCCAGACCACACCGTAGGTGAGCAGGTATATGCAAAGCAACATCGAGAGACCGCTGCTCTATCCCAGTGGCTGGGATAGAGTTAACTCTGCCGTGGTAAAGCTCCAAGCTGATCACCTGAGACACCTGCGGAGTTGGAGGATGGTTAACACTGGTCAAGAGACAAACAGCTAGCAGACAGCCAAGGTTAAGGCTGGAGTCAGAGATGGACAGGGCCAGGATTCAATCACTCCTAACTGGGTAATTCAAAAAATGGCATACGATTGTTCTCCCAGGTGGGCTAGGGGGTGGACAAGCACATATTATATGGTCCTTCCAGTGACTTGGGCCATGGAAGTCCAGAGATGAACTGAGAAAGGTCCCAGCACTGTAAAAACAAACTGCATCATCTTGTCAGGAACTCAGAGCTCACGGCTTATAGTAGAACACCCACAGGTACTGCTTCTGAAGGCTAGGGTATAGTAAGCAGAAACTGGATAAGGCTTCTGTGAGCCTAGGTTTGCCTGTTTCTCACTTCCAAGGTTCATAGACAATGTGCCGTGCTATGAGAATGTTAACCATCCTTCAGCCTCGCAGGTGTTCCCAAGAGGACACACTCAAGCCTTGGAGAGGGGGCTTTACGGGTTTTGACCTTTGGAAGAAGTGGCCCCTTGCGCCAGCATGGAGAGTCACAATGATAAAAGTTGTCTCATTTGGACCTAGCAGCTCTGGATTCCTGAGGTTAACTCTTCTACTCTTACGTACCTTTAAAAAAGCAAACATGGTTCTTGGCAATTTAAAAAATTATATATATATGCACATGTATACATACATACACACACACACACACACACACACACACACACACACACACACACACACACACATATATGCTGAGAGTATGTAGAGAAAAATTAATACATTGCTTTCCAAAATCAGAAGTTGGAGATGAGGTTCTACTATGTAGCTCATTCTGGTTTTAATCCACAGTGTAGCCCAGGCTGGCCTCAGACTCTCAGTCCACAGCCTGCCTCATTCTCCCGAGTGCTGGGATTACACATAGGTGTTCCTGCTTTTTAAACCAATACTTCTGCTTATTTTATTAGTAAAGTAACTTGCAAATACTGTTTGGTTGAATATACCCTTAAAATATACCTGAGAGAGTCTGTGTGGCCATAGTTTAAATATTTTCATAATAATCTTCTGAGCTAGTTACTTTCACTGTCATTTCTCTGACTATACTTTCTCATGGCCACGCACGTGTGTTGTGTAATAAGTCTGTATTGTGGCTTACTAGAACAGTAGTTCTCAACCTGTGGGTTTTGACTGCTTTAGGGGTCGAATGACCCTTTCAAAGGGTCACATATCAGATATCCTGCATATGAAGTATTTAAACTATGATTCACAACAGTAGCAAAATTACAGATATGAAGCAGCAACAAAAATAATTTTACGGTTGGGGGTCACCACCACATGAGGAACTGTATTTATGGGTCACAGTTTTAGGAATGGTCAAAAAAACTGTATAGAACAATGCTTTTTCCTATTATAATAACAAGATTGACTTGCCAACCAGACCCCTGATTCTTGAAAGTGCTTTTATTTCTCAAAGACTATATATATTTTTTAAATAGAGAAGTATGTTTTTTTCTTGTTCACCACCTCTTAAGAAATTAAAAAAAAAAACCCAACCCAAATTTATTTAAAGTCTCCCACATCTCCCCCTCCCCCACTGATAGAGTGTGCTGGTTTCTCTGATTTTCCAAACTTCGATGGGCCCTCAGGAAACCATCCTGGCAGGTCCCAGTTCCTGTGTCACCACAGGAGCACTATGCAGCGTCAGTGTCTGGACCCAACAAGGACACGTTCAAAAATGGCCCACAGAGCAAAGCTCGAGTCTTAGACAGTCCTGGAAACTTAGCCTGTTTTCTCTCCCCACTTTCAACTACAGTGAAACCGCACCCGAGGCACCACCATCACCGAGGAACTTCTAATGAGGACAGCTCTCCTGCCTAGGCCTATCTAATGGCCGCGCTTTCTCTCTGTGCCTTCTCCGTCTTTGGCAACACAGCCCGCTATCACTTTGAAAGCCCTGCAAAGGAAGTGGCTTCCATTAACTTCCAATTTATTCCTTTCCTATTGCGATTCTGAAATGAGGAAAAAGGAATGCTAAGGACAGAATTCTAATGTAATTCTTCAATTGAAAAGGTTTGTTCCTCTCACAAAAATCACGCTGCTGGGGGAACATTCGCTTTATTAATAGGGAACCTGTCGGAAAGAGAAAAGCCGCTCCCACTACAGAGGAACAAAGCTTACTGTGGAGGATCCATTCCAGAGCGGCTGTAGGAAAACTATTTGTGTATGGGATGCTTTTTTCTAGTGACTTCTGTTGTGATTTTAGACGTGTGTTCTTGGAGAAAAGACTTCTGCTTCAACATGTCACTGTCAAAAATCACACTAAGGGAACTCAAAACTCTCATCCCAAGCTCTCGTTTGAATTTGTCAGCACGTCTTCCCGGTGGCACCTTACTTCGCTTGTGCAACGTTAGTCAGGTGACCCAGAAGTGGGAAATGATTTCACACACGCACTCACTGTAAAGTACACACACCATAAAATATACAACAGCTAATTTTCATTTCGCTCTCCCTGACCTCATGAAAATGTGACTGGAATACATACCTAGCCTAGGCTGCTTCTCCACACAAACACCCTGGCTTCATCCGCCCCTTCTCCTAGGCTTTCAAAATGGTGGCCGACAGTCCCGATTTGCATCTGGTTACAAAGTCCTTCAAAGCATGGCTTACCTTCTCCAATAACTGATTATGAAAAGCTAAGCCTTCTGTTTGATAAGAATAACATTTGCAGCGCCAAGGTAACCAGCCAAGTTCACTGTAAACGGTTTTCAAAAGTTTTTTTTTCTTCAATGGGAGCTTCGACTGCAGTCAGCTTTTTATCAGCCTGGCAAATCCGAATCCAGAGGGTTTAGGCCTAAAACTAAAGCTACGGATTGTCCTTTGAAAGGTCTGTCGCTAATCTGCTAAGTGTACTTGGAGCAAAATGTCAGTTCCTAAGGAGAGGTAAATTTACCATGGAGCTAAATGAAATTTAATCTGAGGCATTTCACATGTATGGGTCTCTTCCAGGGCTCTGCATCTAATTTTCATAATTTTGACTTTTATTTTTTTCTCAAAGAGGGACCTAAAAATTACTGACACTTTAGGACCTCAATCATATAGTTCCTGTCAGTTCTTAAGCATGTAGTCTTATTAGAGACTCTATTGTGATATCAACATTTTATAGTTAGAGTAAAAATTTCGTATACTTACTCAAAAAATGTTGTCCATCCAGTTTCGTCACTTTTGGTGGCTAAAAGCCCACTGTTGCCATGGTAAGTAAACAAAACCAGTTCCAGACCCTGAGCGGTCATGCTTTTCAGACACCCATTGGTGCCTATGGTCAACCATATCACCTGGTTATCGGGAGACACCACTCGCACTGGCATCCGATTCGGATCCCTTCGGATTCGGAGGGTATTGCCATTGCTGTCTGTTACAGCGGTGACGTCATTGTCGTTGCTGTAACTAAAATTATACAGGTAGTCACCCGTGACCAGGCTCACGGTGTACTGGTGAGTCCCATTGATGTCAAAGATGTACAGCTCTTGATCAGTTGGAGAGGCAACTTCGTAAAAGTTCATGGAGTTGAGTAAAGGTTTATTCTTTGACACGGCCCGGATCCGGATATTTCCCAGATCGGCAATGTACAGCGTGCCATCTGGAGAGGCGGCTAGGGAGGACGGTGCACTGAGTTTGGCATCTTTGGCGTAGCCGTCTCCACTTTGGTAGCAGTCACAGTTGGCGTCGTTCTTGCAGTCACATTCCGACGGTATCCCAGCCACTAAGGAGATCTCCCCGTCTGTGGTGACCTGCCTTATTCGGTTGATCTTCTTCTCATCAGTTTCTGTAATGTAAAGGATCCCGCTGTAGGACACGGCAATGGCAGTGGCTGACTCCAGGGTGGTCTGAACTGCATGCTTCCCCACGGGGTACTCCACTCCAGGGACCTGACAGTGCATGGGCCGTCCGGCAGCAATGCGAACTTGACGGTTTTCGGTGATCTGTAAAACTACGTTATTATCCAGGACGTAGATGGAGTTATCCATGGGGTTAATGGCAAGATCGGTGGGCCATTCCAGACGCACCTTAAGAAAGAAAGAAATGACTTGGTTAGTCAGTTACTAAGCTGCAGTTAGTTTGCTAGGAGAGCAAATTAGACCATTCATGGAAATTAGCCTTTATTTGATAAACTGCTTTAAAATTGTTTTTATTTCAATATCCATGGTCAAACAAACCTAAAATTTTGACGCAGAGACGAATGTAGGATGTAATATCTTACTTAAAAATGCAGTTGGTGCATGGAAAGATTTGCTGGTTTTAGCCAGACAGCAAATGCACGTCTATGTAGTGAGTCAACAGATATTGCTGAGACATGAACACATATGCTCCTTTTAATAGTAATAGCAGCCAAATGCCAGGGCTTGCTAGGTTATGAATACATTAGTGTTCCCTTGTGTTCTCAATCAGACCAATAGTTAAGTTCCTAATTCTAAATATAAGCCCCTCGGGACTAATCATAGTGTGTTTTCTCTTGTGCTGAAGGAGCCCATGCAATCAAAAGATTAGGGATTTAAGCTGTTTTGTTCTTTTTGGAGTACCTGCATGCTGCTACATTAGTGGGATTTTATTACACATGCTTAGCATTTCTTAGCGCTAATTGTTCCGTATTTCACCGGATTCATAAAATGCAGACCCGCAGAAGATTATACGTTTAAACAGAACAGTCATATCCTAGATACCCCCATCCCTGATAGATGGAACTCAACATGGCGGCACCACCGGCTACTTTGAGCCAGACAAATCATTGACAGAACAAATGGAGTCACTCTGAAGCAAGACAGAAAGCTTGGCTTAGCACAGTACCTGACTGATGTGCATGCTAGTGTCACAGGTTAAAGGTCGGGCTGATGTGAGGTCGTTGGAGCCCAGGAGAGTTGATATGATTCCATTTTGATCAACCTTTCTGATCATGGTTCCATCCACAAAGTAGATCAGTCCGTTCTTATCGATCGCCATCCCTTTATCAAAGAGAAATAAGTGTTACCATTTATTTTAATGATTAATTTTGATTAAACCCTTACGCCCAGTGACAAATTCAAAGCTTATCCCTGGTAATAAAATGGATGTTAGGTAGCAGGTAAGAATGCTGACTGTAAAATCTTAAGAAAAGATGGGGAAAAAAAATCCCCAATTCAGGCATTTACAATTCTAATACATTTATATATAAAGAAACACAACAAAGAATTCAAATCTCGAAGGATCTCTGCCAAGTATAAGAACCTCATAGGTATGGAACCTGTATGCTTCAAATACAAAATAAAGTCCACAGTCCCAAGGTAGGCCGTACATTCTAGAGACAGGCTTAGATTCTATTAGAGTCGACTTATAGTCATGACACTCTATCCAACAAAGGCAGATCCGAGCCAAGGTTAGTGTTTAGCTGACCTTCTTACAATGAAATCTGCCATTATGAATAATTCAGTACAGCAAATATTTTTTTTTTCCAGACCCTGCTCACATAATCCTCCCTGGTTATAATGAAAATCAAAAAGTTTCCAAACCGAACCGCGTTGTAATGGATGGCATAACACTTGAGCGAGGAGTCAATCTTGACTCCTTTAAAGCTTTTATCACACAGAATTTTTAGCCCATTACCTCCCCAGATTCCTCATAGCAAGCATTTTTTCCCATGGCATAGAGACAAAAGTTGAACAGCTCCAAAGTGGGTGCAAGCTAATAGGGTTGCTTAGTGTTGGTTTTTACAGAGGCCCGGGACTCATTCATGACAAGGAAATTTCAGGACAATGAAGGAATCTGAAGTTTAATAGGACGTGACATGAATGACTGATTGTGGCTTCAGTCTTCGAAAAGTTGAAAAAAAAAACCCAACAAAAATTGTACAATGAGTTCTGTTTTTAAGAAGTTCAAAACATTATATTTACTGTAAAAAAAAAAAAGAGAGAGAAAAAAGAAAATCAACTTAGCTTCTAGCAGTTACATGCTAAATGGCTTTTAAAAGAGTAGGCGCGACACAGCTTTTCTAGAACATACTCGGTGATAAAACGTTAGACTCAGCATTAAACAATCAGGCACTCGGTGGATTTTATACGTATGAAAATATAATGTAATAATTTAATATGTAAATATAATAAAATATAAAAAGTAAGGTAAAAGGGAAAGCCTAAGTTGATAATTTTCGGTACCTTTGGGACTCATGAGCGTTGCCTCCACAGCTTTCCCTCCGTCCCCACACCTGGCCTCGTCAAAGGGCAGGCACTGCTCCCCGGTCCCTGCCACCACTTCAGCATTTTTAGTCAGGTCTTTGGCCCCCGTGAGTGACTTCGGCCGATAGATTCTGCGGGTGTTAGTATCAGAAACGTACAAATCTCCGGTGACGGGATCCGTAGCCAGGTAGTATCTGTGAGCTGGGTTGCTGCTGTAAAAAAAAGATTTGTATGCAAATACTAGGTGAGAGCCACTTCTTGTACGCAGAGGGAGATGAAAAGTGAAATAAAACACAGCACGGGCTCCAGTGCTTATGAACCGGAGCCCAGTGTCACAGGTTAGACAAAGACCAGGGTCAGTGATCATGACATAAGAGACTGTGATGTGATCTGAGGTAGCAAGTCTCTGACGTGAGGTATGTTTGAGTCTGATATTTTTCTTTCCAGCTTGATGTTGAGGACTCAACAATTTACCGTCAGCCATTAATTTAATTTAATTTAACTATTATTATGTTTCACATTTTATGTGTATGGGATGTTTTGCCTGCAAGTATGTGTGTGTGTGTGTGTACCATGTGCATGCCTGGTGCCTCAGGAGGCCAGAAGAGGGCATCAGATCCCTGGAACTGGAGTTGCAGACTGTTGGGAGCTGCCCTGAAGATCAAAGGTGGGTTCTCTGAGAGAACGAGGGCTCTTAATTATGGAGTCAACTCTCCAGTCCCTACTCACAGCCATTCCTTAAAACAACTAACTTTGGAGTCATACAGAAGTCTAAAACAAAGAAGCAAGGCCTCTCCATCCACCCCTCTGAGTGGATAGATGAAGTTTATTCCACGGAAAGACCTCTCTGGCATCTCCTCCACTGACGTAACAGATGGCCCATTTCATGACTATTGTTAGGAATCATTACTTTGCTTTTTGCTGTAAAGCCACAAAAAAATGCTACCCTGCAAAGGTAGCATCATGACCACCTTAGCTGCTCTGTCACAATCCAGGAAAGCAAATGGTGCTGGTACAATGTCTGTTCAGACCTACGGGGATAAGTGAGATTATACATTCAAAGGCAGAAGGCAATCTCTGAACATTGCCTTCTTAGGAATGTGACTTTTAGATCGTGTGCAAATATGGAAAAGGCCAAAAACAGTTTAAATTACTTGTTTTTTCAGGGGGAAGGGATGATAAAGATGGGATCCACTAAATAATATATATATTTTGATAATGAACTTGGTTTTTTATTTTCCCTCTCCATCTTGCTCTGCTTCTTTCTTCCTTCCATTTCTACAGTCAGAAACACAGAGTCATCTGAACAACTGGGAGACTGTTTCTTGGGAACGTCAGAGATGCTATATACATGAAGTCTCTTCAACATGGCTGCCTAAGCATGACCTGAAGAAGGACGGCACAAACAGACATGCTAACATAGCATGGGGAAAGCTATAAGGGTGACAGCAGAAGAAATAATAGTCTTCCCTAGGGAAGAGCATACTAGTTGGTTGGCATACACACACACGCACACACACATCACCAACAACTAAAGAAACAGAAGCCATTGATTTCAAGGAACGCAATATGAATTTGGAGGGTAGAAAGAAAGGAGGGAAGTGATGTAAATATATTATAATCTCAAAACAATTATTAAAAACATGTAGTATAAGCCTAAAATGAACATTTTAATTATAAAAGTGCTATAGCAGATTTTTTATTACTAATTATGTTAAACTGTTATGAAACAATTCTCATTTTTTGATGTCCTTTTTAGTTAATTTTTCCATGCACATGTGTGTGTGTGTGAGTATGTGTGTGTGTGAGTGTGTGTGTGTTTGTATTGACAGGTGCTTCCTTCTTCTAATATCTGCCTCTGGTTTTGCTGTCCAGGGAGGTCCTGAGGTCCACCTGCCTCTGCCCCACAGTGCTAGAGGTTCAGTCATGTGCAAATGTGTCCAGTTTTCACGTTCGTACTGGAGGTTTCATCCCAGGTTTCCCTGCTTTCATACTGAGCAGTCTTCTTACGGTACCACCTCCAGTTTCCTGGTTTTTATAAGTGGAGAATGTGCGTACTTTAGTCTAAGAGGCTTTTCTTACAACAAGGTTATAATTTCTACTAGTTTTTCTCCCACCAGTAGGGGAGCACAGAAGACACACTCAGCAAGATTCCACTATTCTTAATATTTGCTCTTGTCCTGTCTACAGTAATATTTCAATATGCCTTACATAATGCTATAAGGTCTTGACTTGCTTCCTGAAAATGTTCGGGGTGGGGGGGGAATCTCAGAATGTGAACAGATTCAAATTTGCTTACTTCTGCTGGTAAATCAGGAATCTGGAATAAACTAAAGTATTAGAGTGATGTCCACGCTCCTCTTAAGATGTCTGTTACTTGTTTCAAGGTTTATTATAACAAAGCTACAGGACCCATGCATACTTTTAAATTATATCCTTCATTTTGATCCATTAGGTTTTGGCTATCTGATTGTTGGCAGCCATGGGGCATGAGATTTCTTGGTGTAAAACCAATGGACATTCAAGGCATGAGCTGGGCTTTGATTGGCACCACCATCATTTACTTGAGTGGTAATGTCATCATGTCCATGGAGTAGGGAATTGGGGTTAGATCTGCTGGATAATGCTTATTCTACCTTCCTCAACACACAGGTACTTCATTTTCTACTTTCTCTTGAACTCACAATGTAGCCTAACTTCTAACTCATTGTCTACCTCTCTCTACTTCTGCTGTGCTGGGATCACAGTTTGCATCAGTGTCCTGAAGACACAGACACTTCCGAATCAAGCAGGACAGCTTTATCTGATGAGTGTAAGGTCTCACTGTGAACACAATTCTATTGTCTAGAACAGCGTGGATGAGTTCATGGTCCAAGAGTGGAGGTACAGTCTCAGCTGGCAAAGGATGGTTATTCCTCAGACCCTAGTGTCACACAGGTGGGAAAGGTCTCTACAGAGCTTCTAAAATAGAACAAAAATGATACCACCAGTTGACATGACAACATGGATGGGGGAAATTTTAGAAGGTCCAACACCTAGATGAAGAGTTACAGGCAACCAAGGAAGGGAGGAAAGGAGGGAAGAAGGAAAAGAGGAGGGAGGGAAAGAATATGAATATATCAGTTTTCTTCATGGATGAGCTCTCTGACAAGTTAGCTAATCCCAAGTGGTCAGCTCTAAACATATGTGCATATGAGCCACACTGTATGGACTCAGTAGGATGCACATGTGGGGACACACACACACACACACACACACACACACACTAATAATGAGGTCATGAATTTGAAGGAGCACAGGACTGGTAAGCAGAAGATGTAGAAATTATGTAAATACAGCACTCATGTATAAAATTCTAAAAACAAAGTTAAATAAAAACCCTACCCCCTATGCCCCCACAAAAAAAAATAGGATAAAAGTGAGTTTGGAAATTTTTAGTTGACAGACGGATGACAGAGGAGTTCTGAATCACATACACAACAGGAGTTTGACTCAAGATCATCTGATTTTAAGCCTGAAGCATCCCCTGACAGAGTGCACTGGAAGCTGTTTTCTAGCAGCCCGGAAGTCATCGAGGGGCGGGCGTTCTAGTACAGAGGGGCTGTGAGCTTCAGATGAGAAGCACATCTAGTATGTAATCCGAGGTCACACTGACTGGAAGCTGACTGCAGTTGGCCACGAGCACAGGGATTTACAAAGACCACGTTTTGGGGAAATCTGAATGCAACAGTCGAAACACAGAGCATTTCTGTGGGACTGACTATCTTAAGATTTTGCTGTTTCAGAAGGGTTTAAAGTGACATTTGTGACTAATAGCAAAAAGCAAGGAAGTGAACTCAAGCGACATCGTCCACCGCACCTTGATTCTGAACTCATCCAGGATGACCCAGATGCCAGTTATGAAGACATTTTCCCTAGAGCCTTGTCAATTGGACAGAGATCCAGGGGCAAGTGCGGGCTGGTTATACTCATTTATTTTCTCATAATTCAGCCATCTTAGATGAGGGAGACACTTGTGGAAAACGGCACAGAGAATGTACACTATTAACACTTTTATCTTTTCAGCTGGAAACTGCCACAGCTCTTAGCACAAAGCAATTGAAGAAGCATAATGAATTCCGTTTATGTATAAAAGCAACACTGCCTACTTCATGGTAACCAGAAGACTGGGTGACTATAAACTGGGATTGGTTAAAAATTTTAATTTGGAACTTAAGGACTTTGAACAGGGATAAGCCAAAATGCACTCTCTTACCAAAGGGGTCTAATTAACAAACTAGTAAAGTAGTGGTACATTTTATAATCATTTTATAATCATTTTAGTATTACCAGTTAAAAATATCAAATGATACCTGAGTATAACTAAATATACCTAAGGAATTTTATTTTATAGACTATTTTAAAAGTGCTTAAGAACTTGGCATGATAGCATCCTATTTGAATCTTTAAGTAGTAAGACCATGTCTTAATACTCTTGGCCAGTATTTTTAAATATGGTTTCCATTAGTATAATTAATGACAGTTTATGGTACAGGAAGAGGACCGGATGCAGATATTCTATATGTACTGAATCGCCTACAGTTGACAGTGACATTCCTATATGTAGACTTAGGCACATTTTAGGATTCCCTTTCTTCCTACCGCTTGCTCTTGAGTTATTCACAGCTGCTCTGCCACACAGCAAAGAGAGGCTGTAACAAAAGCCAGGCTAGCAAACAGGAAGACGTTTCTGACAGAAGTTCATTTCCTTCCTGAGCTCATTTCCTTCCTTCTGCAATTCTTTCCTTTAAAAAATGTCTTTCTTCTTGTACTGAGGAGTGAAAGGAGGGTCTCACTCATGCAGGGCAAGCACTTCTCTGCTGAGCCACCCCCAAGCTTTTATCCATTTTTTTTTATTCTGAGATTACCCAGGCTGACCTTGAACTCATCTTGCCCCTGACTCAGCCTCCTGAGTAGCTAGGATTACAGGCCTGTGTCGCTAGGCTTGGAAATAATTTCATAAAAATAAGGAAGTGCTAACTAATTTAAATATCTTAAATATTTTGACCTTCCTCAGGTCATTTCAGATAGTTATTAAATACACATTAATTTCATCAATAATGTCATTATCCGTTTAGTGAACGGGGCTCAAGAACCTTGTACATTTTTGCCTTTCCTTGTTTTCTACTCTACAGGCGACGGTGGCTGTAAATTTGTAGTCATCTGGTGCCTCGCCCTCCCAAGTCCTGGGATTGGGGGCCATGTACCATCCTGTGAGGCTCTTCCTTCATCTTTCTAACTGCACAGAAGGTACAATCTCTTCACTGTCTGGCTTCCTATGGCTGATTTCACTGTTGAGCCTTCTCTTAAGGTATGCTGACTCTCACGGTCAGGTGCATTAACTTTCTAAGTGATTTTATCAAGCACATGAATATTCCTAATAGGTCACTTTGAATATGCCACTTGTTCATGACCCTAGACTATTTCCCCACTCTGAGCCATTTTTTTCCCAGCGAGCTCAAAGCGACCCTCAGTAAGCTGACCCTAACTGTCTTCACCCTGTACCTCACTGTTAGCTACACAAATCCCTGCTTTATTTGGGTCGGTCTGGTTACTCTTGGAATATCTTGCATACTTTACTTTGTCTTAGACCCCAGTATACTTATTTCCTCTCTACTGTTTTCCTGTCCCATGAATGTCTTTCTTCTTGCTGTTCTGATCAAGCCAATTTTACTATTAGATCTAGTTCAAATAGCAGCACTTTCTGGAAACTTCCTTACTATGCTGATATCTCCCAGTTTTGTTTTCCTCTAAGAACCACGTTCACGGGACAGTTGTGCCCATGACACGTTAAAAAATAATACTGATGATGTCAGTTGGTCACGCGTAGGTCTAGTTTGTTATTATGTGTGAGTTTCTGAGAGCTTTGTCTTAGATTACCATTCGTCAAAGCGTTTGGCACGGAAATGATCATTTAACACTGTTAGTTTTAACGTTCGAGAGTGGCGATTCACAACCTAAAGGTCCTGCCTGGGTGTCACAGAAAGGACATGTCGAAGCTCAAGTGTGGTCAGAATGAAACATGGAGGAAGTGACAGAGGACCAGGCGAGGGGGATTACAGTAAGTGTCGCTGCCAAATGCCATGAGATGGTATATACTGACTTCATATTCTATGGGAGTATGCATCAACAAGTCCAAACAGAGATTTTTTTTTTCAGAGATGATAGATGTAGACAACTTGCAAAATGACTATGAAACAAGTCTAGACTTTTTTTTTTTTTTGCACTTTTAGGAAATCTCCCTATAGAATCCTAGCCATGGGGAACATATTAAAAAATGGCACAGAGGAAAGAACACACACACGAGAGGGGTTCAAATCTCTGTTTCACGTTTCTCAGCTGTGTATCCTGGGATGGGATGTAATGCCTTCCAACCTCTGTTACCTCATGTGTAACCTGAAGGATTACTGTGCGGTTCTCTAATAACAGACAAAGAGCATCTGGCACGGTGCCTGGCATATAATAGGCCAGCTTGTTAAAAGGCAGGCTTTCATAGTCTTTTTCTCTATCGCCGGCAGCATTTTCACATGCCACTGTCTGTCCTTCCTCTTCTTTCCACAGCTACCAAGAAAACAAGCAGAAATGTGTTGATATTCTGTCGGGGCTTCTCAAAGTACGCTCAGCGTTCTGGGGAGATTCGATGTTAATCTTTAGCATGTGGACTGGGCCATTTAGTTGAAAGTGTAAGATCAATACAGTATCTTAGGGAAGGGTCCTGGGACCATGCCTGGGTATTCTGATCTTTAACAGTTATACACATCCATCGGCGGGACTCCACTTTTTGCTAGCTGTCAATCTCTACAAGGGTTTCAGTGAGTTATATTGACCTGACCATCTAAGATATCTGACATAAAATATTACTCCTTTTTAAAATATATCATCGCATTAGATATTTTAATGGCCAAACTAGATCTGGCATGTCTTACCCTGGCTTTCACTAGCTTTTGTTTAAAGCAGTTTAAAGCTTCTTCTGTATTTTTTTTTTCCTCCTGTCTTTACAGAGTGGCTGTTAGAAAAGTGTCCTGGCAAGGGTTTACTGTATGTGACGTCTTCAGGCAAGTATACTCGTCAGTGGGATATGAAAGCTTCTGGCTGACAGTACTCTATAGTCATCGTTAGCTTTGAAGAAAGCCTTTCTCCACATAATAATGGCACAAAAAACATTTCTCCTGAACCTAGTAACTCTTCCAATTTGGGAAAATTAGAAACCACAGGCTGAGATAAACATAGGAGGTGCTGCAAGGGAGGAAGAATTTCCAAGTTCAGCAGTATGTCCATATTGATCAGATAAGTTTATAAAATTTTCCAGGTGGTGTGGTACACGCCTTTAATCCCAGCCCTAGGGAGGCAGAGGCAGGCGGCTCTCTGAATTCGAGGCCAGCCTGGGCTACAGAGTTACTTTCAGGACAGCTACGGCTACAGAGAAGCCCTGTCTCAAAACAACAAACAAGCAAACAAAAAAATTTAGCATAATACACTATTTTCAGATTAGTTTTCTCAAATCACTTCCTAGACTGAAACAGCTTTGTGCCCAGTAAGACATGATCTGTCCTGGGTCAAATTATCCTACCTCTTTAAACTTTGCTGTGTTTCAAATTTTGTTCTGTTTCATAAGGCTTAGGTTATATAAGTCAGTAACTGCACATTTGAATTCTTTGTGACAAGACTTTTCTTTTTAATGAACCAACTTGAAAATATTTCTAAAATTCTATCACACAGTATATTTTGCAATAAGTTATGTAATTGTCCAATTAGGCCGCTTTAATTCGTTAGATGTTCTGTGATTCCGAGTTTCCTCTTAAGACAGTGTTATTAAAAAACAATTTCAGAGAGTCACATTGAAACATAAAAAGGACATTGGAATATATGCAAGAACCTTTAAGCAGGATGCTTACCTATGTCTAAAATCTTTATTTCTTGGAGGAAGCAGATAAAAGAAAAGTAAAAAAAAAAAGCAGAGTTAGAAAAGGCTTCTGAAATATAATGAGATCAATAGTGAGGTTTAATTACTTGTATGGAAAATTGCAAGTGGAGAAAGCACTGGTAATGAACTTTGTAGGCAAAATCTTATCAAACTGCTGTCAGAACCGGTGGATTTTGACAATCACACTTAAATCACGACAAAGGCATGCTACTTTCACTATCTGCATTCTGGCTAATGAATGGGCTGACCCAACCGAACATCCAGCATTTCTGTCCCTTTACTATCACGCCTTGGTTCCAAAGAAAACATCTTAGGCCACCATTTCAGCCACTGTCCCTGCCGGGCACAGGTGGAAGATGAGATCCTTGACCTCATGAAGGCTGGACGCCCCAGGGGGTGGGAATTTTGAGGGTGGGGAAGTGGGAGTGGGGGGGGTAGGTGGGGGTTACATCCACAGAGAAGAATGAGGAGGGATAAGGGGATTGGGGGTTCCCGGGTGGGTGGGGGATGGGGTAAGGGGATAACATATGAAATGTAAATAAAATATCCAATAAAAAAAAAAAGAAAAAAAAAAGAAAAAAAAAACAAAACAGAAATAAAAGACGGATTCCTGTGCTGCGCCGTTATCCTAAGGAAAATTGAAATGATTAAAAATATATGTGGCTTTACCTTCCAGTTCACAGAAAGATCACTGGGACGAGTAAGCTGCTTTCTGTTCTTTCTCACATTAATAACACTGTATATTGTTGACCTTCTATCTCTACTTAAGGACTAAGTTCTTTCTAGACTGAGTTTTCAACGGTGGGGTGTATGCTTAAATAATAAATCAGTGTATCACATCCAACTTTGTTTTTAAAGGGTATGATGATTGTCTCTGATGAAAGCCCAATAGAAGAAAGACATACCTTAGTTCTAAAACACTTGTCACATTCCCAGAAGGGAATATCCGCCGGACATAATTGAAATCCCCTACGTATAGACTGCCATCGATCCCACAGGCTAGTGCAACTGGTGCCAGCAGCTTGTTCCCATCAGCTTGACCATTGCAACTTGGGCATGAGATGCTCCGCCTCCGACCATTACCCATGATGCTGCTGACCACCGGAGGCTGCTGAGAGATGAACTGATTTTCCCCATTTCCTTTGTACAGTATACCTGAAAGAAAGAACATGTTTCTTATGATGGAAATGGGTGACAAAAAGCCAACATGTCTTATAGAAATCTCACCACAGTGTTGTGGCTTTCTGATTTAGAACTGGAAACTTTAGAGTTCTTATGGAAAGACCTCTATCTATGACCTAAGATATCACATGATAAACCACATTATGGTACCTTTCAAAAGTACTGTTTGTTATGAAGGGAAAGACTAGTGACAGGAACAAAGGGCTAAGAGGAAGAATTCAAAACCCAAATTCTTAACACCAGTGATTCTCAATCTTGGTTACACACCGGAACAGTCTAGAGGGCTGTTAAGAAATACTGATGGCTGGTCCTTACCCCATGAGATTCTGATTTAATTGGTCTGGGTGCAGCCTTAGCATTTAGATTTTTAAAAACTCTCCAGGTGATCTTAATGTGCAACCGAGTTTGAGAACCATGCTCTATATAATATTCTCTAGGGAACAGAAAGTTTGTCTAATTGTTAATCAATGTGGAAAATACTACATATTAACCTGATTAATAAAATGTACCCTGGGAATATGAGTATGAATTTCTTATGAATTCACCATGAGTTTTTTTTTAAAGCTAAAAAGTACTTTATGGAAATGAAGTTAGAAAGTATTTATTTATAGGTATCCTGAGAGTAAGAACAAAATGTATCACTGAGCCATACCCCTGGCTTATGGAGGCCTATTTTTAACTCTACCATACTGTAGGTAGTTTTGCTTCACATTTATCTGATGTAAATTATGTGTATACAGACACACACACATACAGACACACACACACAGACACACACACAGACACACACACACACACACACACACACACGCACAACGAAACTGATGGAGTAGGCAAATCTGTTATTCAAACTGAACTCTGCTTTAAGGTCCGAGAGAATCAATAATTTTACAAAGACAAAAACGCCAGTCTGCCCGTTAATGGGCTTCACTGAAAATGTGAGACCAAAAAATTCCCAAGGAATATTCCATATTTTCCTAGCAAGAAGCTAGATTTGAATTGGGACTTAATTTTGATTCATTTCGTTGTTAGCACGTGCAGATCAATGGCTTGTGTCTGCTATCCAGTGGCTTGTCAGCTGTTCTTGTCCTATGAATATTTTATGACATTCCTCAATGTATTATTATCTGTATAAACCACTTGCTGCTCTGCCTTTAGAGCAGTATATATTGTATTTATTTGGCTTTCTCTGCTTCAAAGTAGTTCTCAGGGCTAATGATCGTGCTTTGTAGCAGATAGACCATTAAAAGAATAATCTTGCGAAGGTACAAACAGAAAACTCGAGAACATGATTTTTCCTCCACTTTGGGATAATTTGAAAGTGAAGAAGTGATCAGAATAATTATGTTCCCCTTATAGCTCAGTAAATTTTAGGTGGATTTTGTGATTACTTTTTTTTTTTTTAAAATGCTTTGCTATTTGGGTGATGTAATAATCACGGCCAATTTACATAAAGAAATCAGGAATGATAAAAAGGTTTATTCAAATTTAAGGGAAAATAATTTAAATAAGACTGGATCATAACAAGAGATGAGATGCTTTTTGCCTTGAATATTCAAAGACGACACGGATGGTACCTCCGATTTCTTCTTTCTGTGATTGCATTATTTGACAATTATGGAAGTATAATTTCCTCGGAGAGTTGGTTCTGCATTTTTTATCAGAAGAGAGCCATGAGTCAGCCTAGCTCTCAGCTGCATCTGATTTACGCATTGCTTTGGATGACCGGCCCTTCCCGTCTCCTCCAGTCGAGCACAACAGAAGGGTTAGCATTGCAGTGTTTGTTTCTCTGTTCCAGGAGGTCCCCGCAGGTGAACAGACACCTGTGGCCCCCTAGGTCTGTGTCTCCTTTGTCTACAACTCATCCAGTTTGACACAATTCCAAGTCACTTTATTTACTCAATTAGATCCACGCCGCTTTGGACAGTCACCACTCGTCAGACTGTTCTTGGATATAATTTGAAACCGCAATCAGTTCACCACGGGACTTAGGTGACCTCACATTTTCAAGTAACATTTTAGAACACAACAGTTTAATTTGGCCGTTCACTCTTTAAATCTGACCTGGTACTTTAATAAAACACCTCCTATGCATTATTCTTGTTTAGAATATGCATGCTTATGTATAGTTATATTATTTAACCCCATACAAGAACTATATACTTCCCAACGTTTCTGGATGCTATCATCAAGTAACTGGATAGTGTTGAGTTACTGGAGTCCTGCTGGGGTTTGAGGTCTATAGTCTCCTTGTGGCTTTACAGTCCCTTGAAGAAATCTTATTGCCAGTTGGTTATGAAAATACACCATCGCCAGGCGGTGGTGGTGCACGCCTTTAATTCCAGCACTTGGGAGGCAGAGGCAGGTGGATTTCTGAGTTTGAAGCCAGCCTGGTCTACAGAGTGAGTTCCAGGACAGCCAGGGCTACACAGAGAAACCCTGTCTCGAAAAAACCAAAACAAAAATAAATAAATAAATAAATAAATAAATACACCGTATTTTCATCACCACTAAAATAAACCTAGAACAGTGTTCCCCAGCGTTTGTTTGTGAAGGACTCACACAGGAATATGGGAACATGTAGAAAATTTATGAAATATAATTTTAAAATAATTTAATCAGGAGCAGCTCCAAGCATGGTTGGCACATGCCCACATATTTTGCTAGACCACGACTCAGCTGAGTGTTACTCACAGGGCAGACTGAGATTACCACCATTTCAGGCGACACTGATGGCTCAAGGGAAGCTTGACATATGGAGTGTTCTCCTCGGGTTGGGAGTCCTGTTTTCTTCTTCTTTTAGGTTCTAAAGTTTTCTAGATAGCGCCAAGTTGTCTACGTAGCCTGATCCTCTGTTCCTCCTGCCTTTGTCTCTTCCCAAGAACTAGAACTGCAGGTGTGTGCCACCAAGCCTAGTGTATGTGCTGATATGGATACAACTCTGGGCTTTGTGCATGCGAGCCAAGCACTCTCCCACACGAGCTATGCCCCTACATTTATAATGTATGTGCTGTGTGGTGCTTGAAACGGGCTCTGTTCCCAGCCTTCTGGAATGACAACTGATGACCAAGACACATGGGAAAGGAAGAGAGGGAAACACTGTTGCAAAACTGGTAAAGGCATGAGGAGTATTTCTGCTTTAGTTTTCTTCCCGACTGATCTACTTTTTACCGTTCATTACCTTCCTCTTGGCAAGGCATCAGCATTTTCAAATACTGACTTGGAAACAATGGATCAGTATACTTAGGAAGTCAAGATATATCTTTGCAAGACTCTTATTTTTTAAAGACAGAAAAAACATCAAAGCAACATCACTCCAAACGTGACCATCAATCACGAGCATTTAATGGTGTGACAGTTTCAATTCAACATCCCAGACCTTCCCAAAAGTTAAAGGGGACGCTACTCGGCAAACATGGACATTTCCTCCAGCTATTCCTAGAGGGAGGGTAGAGACTTCTCGGTGTGAGAAGGCTTAAGATAGGTTAGAGTTGGTAACCTTATGGCCCTGCTTTTTGAACAGAGCATCTTTGGATGCTCTGATGTGTGGGCAAGCATGCGAATAAAATGTCAGAAACACAGTAGGGGCAACAGAATTCCTTCCCACCAGAGCCGTTTGTGTGTGAGGAGACAGTTCACACTGCAGGGCATGTATTCTTGGTTTGTGATGTCAGGTCTGCTGGAAGAAGTATTTTAGTTTTTATTTTTCTCTCAAATTATTCATTTATATTTCTCCTAATATTCATAAAATCAAGCTACAGTATTTTTGAGTAAGAGTTTTTTCTGTCTTTTTCAATACAGATTAAACAGAACTTGTTGGGGTAGGGTTGAGGGGAGATACAACTAGATACTTGGACAGACTAATTGTCAAGAATCTATTGGAAATTTCTTGGTAAAGTCCCATGGATTTTTTTTTTATCTTGGCTTATAATAAATCACATTGCTGCCAGCTTTGGTAACTCTTTCTAAAGCCATCCCTCACCCCCTTTTTTTGCACACACTGCTGTGTAGTATTGAACACTCACTAATGAATTTGTACAGAGGCACTCATATAGATAGAGGGATTTCACCGAAGTCAGGGTATTTACATTCTACTGGGGAAAGTACTGTAACAACCAACACAGGGACACTGTAAAATTCAGTAAGAGAATCACATAATCCAAGGCTTTTATGGTCTTCCCGTGATCTCTTTATCATTATTTTGCTCGACTGATTCCAATCCTATGGTGTTCAGGGCATTGTGGTATAATCAGAGTGAGGGCGGGCAACCGTAATTGTAAGGACTTACCATTCTGAACATCCAGTACATGATGCTTGTCCAATGTCCAGCCACCCATGTTAGAAGCATCCAGCTCGTAACCCTGCAAAATAGCAGTCCTCTTTTCCCATAGCGTCAGGTCCAAGCACGACTCATACTCGTATCCAACAGACACTGTAAGTGAAGAAACCCAGAGCTCATCCTCTCAGCCGTACAGGAAAAGGAAGTTATTTTCTGACTTGGAGGGAAACTCTCAATTGTGATCTGAGTTCATAGCTCTCCTCATTTATTAAGCAGTTCGTTTTTACAATATATTATTCCAATTGAATAGAAGAAAAAAAGCAGTTCGTTTTTATGTAAGGAGATTTGACCATATGGGAGAGAAAGACAACCAACTCGAAATGCTATCTTATAACTTATGTAATAGAGATTAAGCCCCTCCCCAATGACTCTTACAAGGGATTCCTAGCACAATATTAAGTTCAGATTGGGAAACTAGTTAAATGATTATAGCAAGTTAGTAGCAAATTTTAGTTAAACAAAAAATAATGTTTGTTATATAAATAATCCAAACTGTTTAGTTCTTAAGAATTTACATTATGGAAAATATTTATGGTACGTATTTACGAATTAATTGTGAATTACTACCAATTTGCAATTAAAAGATTTTAGTTCACGATGAATCAAGGATTGTGATTGGTGGATTGGTGGGAACTAATTCAAATCTAAATTAGACACTTTTTTTTTTTTTGAAGAACCAAAAAAGCTATTTTCTTTTTTTTTTTTTTAATATTTATTTATTTATTTATTTATTTATTTTATTGATGAGTACACTGTAGCTGTCTTCAGACACACCAGAAGAGGGCATCCAATCTCATTACGGATGGTTGTGAGCCACCATGTGGTTGCTGGGATTTGAACTCAGGACCTCTGGAAGAGCAGTCAGTGCTCTTAACCGCTGAGCCATCTCTCCAGCCCCCAAAAAAGCTATTTTCAAGTAAAGTTGAAGCTATAAAACCCATAGTTTCCTTTAGTTGTTGCTGTCCTGGCCTGAGCTTGAAGCTACACCTGACACGTCAAGCTCTAGTGTCCAGTCATTCAGGGAAATGAGTTACTCTTCCAGATCGTCCTCCTGCTGGCCCTCTGAGCAGAGCTGAAATAATTCTTGGATCCCAATTTTGTTTGACCTGGTAAACATTATCATGACTGAAACCCCCTTGCTGTCACATACAGAAAACATTAAGATGATGGCAAAATCTAGAGAGGTCAGGTCATAAAGGAAGGAGAAAAATAAACAGAAAAGGATGCCACAGGAAAGGAAAGAAAGAAACGTGAAAACGGACACCAGGAGAAAGGACACAGTAACCTGAGATTCGTAAGACCAGTCCATGGAAACAGTCTTTCCTCTCCTCCTAAGCGATACATTCCTTTCCCCACGGTGGATCAAAAACAGCCGGACTGTGACTTCCCTAGATGAACTTGCAGCCACTGTTTATCTCGCTACTTGCCATAGGCTCCTGATAATTCCTTGATAATTCTGACCTTAACCCCATTTTTTTTTCAGTACAGAGGGGATATCCACGAAACTCACCCACTGCCTCTGACAGGCCGTAGACTTTCTGGTTATATGCATCTGTCTTATCCCAGATGAACGTATAGGCCAAGTTTGGTGAGGCAGGAAACCACTTCTGGAAGAGTCTCCCAACCACGGCTACCATCAGATGGACCTTCATGAGGTTAAATGGTATGACGGCCTGGGTCATGGTGATCTTGAGGACTGACTTGTACCCTGCCGCTCTGGAACTCAGGTAGGAAAGTTTCAAATCCGTTCCTGGAATTGTGGTTTCTTCATGCAGGACCTATGTTTGAGAAAAGCACAAGCTCTTAACTGGGATCGTGGATGCTTAACTGGAGGAGATACAGTGAGCAGAACCCAGCAGAGAACAGAAAATAAGACACAGCAGGCTCGCTATTCACAAATATCATCTGAGCTGCTGCTATCTTATCTAATAATTCCAAAACAACTCCACTACCAGCCTGAAGCTCTCCTCCTCTTGCCATTTATTCAGAGTTAGTCACATCCTTCATACAGCTATTGGTACCCTGACTTGTCGATTCTATAGTTACAGTAGATTCTGACTAATGCATCTTCTATTCCGGTCACTTGGAGAAGAGAGCTGACATTTGTACAATGGTCACCTCAGAACAGAGATGTATCATTAGCTGGTCACTTAGAGGCTAACCCGAACTGAGCCTATGGCCTCATTAGCCTACCTGGGTCACAGTTAGAAAGACAGGAATGACAGCAAGGAGTGCAGACCCATCTGGGTTAAATTGTAGTTGATTCCAGATACACATTGAGAGGTAATGTAACAACAGTACATCCTTATAATTACATATTGAACTACACTGAGCTACATTAAAACCACTGAGTTTTAATAACACGGTAAAATGAGCTAATGTTTTAAAGATGTATGTATTATTTTCTCAGAGAATAACTAAAATGCACATGTAAGAGAAAACATACTTCTGATTTCCGACTATAAAAAGCTACTTTTATCCATGTAAGGCTGCCTTAATTATACGTTACATGTATTTTTTTTAATCCTATGTTTAGCTGTCTATGTGAATAGCTCAATGGATGGTAATAAATTTGAGGGTGAAGATACCTTATACCCAAATAGTAATCTAACCATTTTGAAATACGTTTGTATAGTATATAAAAAAATTTTAAAAGGGTTTTCTAAAGAGACTTTTTCTGCTAATGTTCTTATTACTTTTCATAACTAATAATAGATCTTTATAGGCTTATCATGTGTGCTGTAATGTGCAAGGCTCCCTTTGCTAAGAACTTGTACTAACTCATTACTAAAAAGGCTTCTTCCTTCAGCAGATGAATACCATTACAAAAATCCACAGCTGGCCAAAATTCATAGGAAACTGACCATGGAACACCCAATGCTAAATAATCAACATAAAGCTTGGGGAACATCACAGAAGGTGGGGCAGGAAGACTGGAAGAGCCAGAGGAACAGGACATGTTTACTACATCCATCAGGGAAACTGCACTTATGAAATCCCAACAACATAGTTGCTTAAACAAGACTTAAAAAATGACACTACCAACTGACACACACATGCTGATGGGGTAAAGCGCACACCGTTCGACCTCTAGGTGAAGAGCTGTGGGTAACTGATGGCTGCCGAGACAGGGAGAATCAGTCTTTCTAGGGAGGGGTCTTCACCACCATTAGCTACCCAATTCCAAGCAGTCAGTCACGACCACGTACACACAGGAGCAGTACCACAGAGGTTCACATAGCTTATTTACACACACACACATGTATAGACATATGTAACAATAAAGAAGACATCATGAATTTCAGAAGGAGTTGGGGTGTGGGAGGAGTGGAAAGGGGAGAAGGGGCACTAATGATGTAAAGAGAGTACCCACACGTGATGGTTTGTATATGCTTGGCCCAGGGAGTAACACTAATAGAAGGTGTGGCCTTGTTGGAGTAGGTATGGCCTTGTTGGAGTAGGTGTGTCACTGTGGGTGTGGCTTTAAGACCCTCATCCTAGCTGCCTGGAAGTCAGTATTCTGCTAGCAGCCTACAGATGAATGTAGAACTCTCAGCTCCTCCTGCACCATGCCTGCCTGGATGCTGCCATGTTCCCTCCTTGATGATAATGGACTGAACCTCTGAACCTGTAAGCCAGCCCCAATGAAATGTCCTTATGAGACATTATGTGTCCTTATGAGAGTTGCCTTAGTCATGGTGTCTGTTCACAGCGGTAAAACCTAACTAAGATATCAATATGGAATTCAAACACAGTAACCTGTGTCTGAAACCAACCACTTCCTCTACTGCAAACGAGATGGCATTCCTAAACGTTAGTACATATCTCTATACACACTAATCACTCAGTCACCAAATGACTGCCTTTCCTGAGATAAAAATCTTGGAATAGAGGCTCCGTGGTCCCCACGCCTCTCATGCAGCGCAGCAAGGAATGGTGTGCATGGATTTGCCATCTCCGCACTTGAATTTCTGAAGTAAAACTCCAGGTATCATGGACATAGCTATCAGACTGTATAACCAAACACACAGCTGGAAGTTGGCACAAAGGAACGGACTAAAGCAACTCCTACTCGGGTCTGTAAGGCAGCTGGCACGAAGAGGAAGTGGCGTGAGGTAACGGACTACAAAGGCACAACTCGGACATGTGGGTTAACAAAGTGGAGGTCCGTACTAAATCTGCTGACTGGATGCAGTCCTTGAGGCGTCTTGAGGAAGACCTTTTGTGAACACACCGAACCTTACTAGTTTCTAACTTTTTATCCTTCTACCCCACCCACTCAGAAACTTCTTAAAGGTCCCATACATCTAAGAAAACCGGGAAATCTAATGTTGATGGATCTTTTATAAGGGGACAGGAGAGAAGACAACCTAAAGGGAATGCACTATTGCAATATAGAATGAAATGTCAATGCATTCGTTTGAAAAAAAAAAAAAAACCAGACTTCTGTGCATCCCGAGTGGCCCAGAAAATATAACGTATATTTCCTCTTAATTTCCTTTCAAAATAATCTCCCATACATTTGATAGTCTTTCTCCTTACAAGGGAATTGATTAATAACCACTTCCTGTGACCTGCTAGGACTTGCTACTCCATTTCAAAATATCATGTTATTCTTAATTTTAATAACCGATTATTGTCTCTGTCATCATTAACCTACTTCCACGGAACAAATATCTGTAATTTAGTTCATTAGAGCGTGCATTTCTCCAATGTAATTGAACCTTACCATGTTATATTTTATTACCTAGGAAATATAAATCCTGGCAAAACAGGAAGATGCACCCGTAAGATGCCAGCTGCGTAATTTGTGAGCTCCACTCTGGATGATTTAAGCACTTAGAAGTTACGAGTTGCTGTTGGATGCTCTGTGCGGCCGTCTGATGCTCTGTGTCTGTCTATTGTTTCCTTGCTGCTCTTTCTGTCCCTTTTCATAGCTAAGTGCACCGGCTACCTGGGCTCTGGCCATGCAGACATGCAAATAAAGCCAACGGGAGTCTGTTCATTATCTCTGTCTCTTGTCAGTTATCTTGTGACTTGGGTTAGCCAGACTCTTGCTTCCATACTGCCTAAGGAGTTCAAAGTTCCTTCTGGATGGGATTTTCCTTCTGTCTCTTTCCTCTCTCATTTAAATTCTTGTCCTGTCTTGATAATGATGATTTGTTTTACATTTCCTCATTTATTTCATATATGGGTAGGATGGGTGGGTTGTGACTGTTGGTTGGGGGACGATCTGAGGGTGTTGGTTCTTTCCTTCTACCATGTGTGTACTGGGGATCAAATGCAGGCCATCAGCTTTGCTCAATGAGCCACCCCACCAATTTCTATCCATCTCATTGGCTACTATGCTGCTGTGACTCATTTCTCCACATGACCTCTGTCCTCAACTCTCCTGTCTCATCACTCTGTGGAGACAGTCCCCTCAGCAACGCTGCTTCTGGCTTACTCAGGGATTGCCCACTGTCATGAACTTCTCAGTGGTCATTCAGATAGTTACTGCATCTCTAGTGACAGAGCTTGTGTCCTGGTTGTCTTTTAATCCTCCTCGGGTACTCTGTACATCACACCTACTGGGTGAATGACTTACAGCAAGGCTTCAATAATTCATGGGCTTGTTGCCTATTTGAAACACATCATTGTGGGTAGATTTCCCTAGAAATTCATAAACCTCTGGACAGATACTGCTTCTGAATAAGGTTGTTTCAGAACTAAGAAGTTACGAGTTCCAAGATGGACTGGAGAAGGAAGTATCCAATCGAATGAGGTCACGGGGAAGTTCCCAAGCATCAGCTCAAAGCTGACTTGGCCATTCAAATCTCCCTAATGTCACTTCCACACAGTGTTTGTCAGGAAAGCCTTTTTATACCCTCTACATCTCTGTCTGTCCTTCCTCGTCACATTCATGATACAATTGCGTCTGTGAGCCAGACCCCCAAGATTCTTATCCTTAATTTCAACCACCTCCGGGACTCACCCTCAACGTTTCCACTGACAAGTGCCGTCCTTGCAGAGAGATCGCTTCCAGCTATCACAATACAGGAGTCCCACCACTTTGACCTTCTTTACCCTGCTTTGGAATTTCCAGTAAGCCTTATCTTAACTTGAAGTGTATTAAGGATTCAGTTTCTTCTCTCTCTTTGGTTGCTAAGCTCGCTGAGAGCAGGTACTCTGGCTAGCTGGTGTACGACTGGTCCCCATTTACAACGACTGCTGTAGAACGAGCATTTTAAACATGTTTGATGAATGAATGTGACAAAGGTCTTGTGTGTGCTTGTACTTTAAAGATTACGTTATTGTTGTGGTTGTTGTTATTATTGCTGTTGTTATTATTGATGTAGTACTGAGGATTGAACCTAAGACTCACACATGCTAGGCAAGTTCTTTACCAATGGGCTATGTTCCCAGCCCCTTTTACTACTGGGCTCTGCCTGACATGGCTGCTGGACACTGAACAGCTGAGGCATCTCTCTGGTCCCATCTACTTTTTATTTTGAAACAAGGTCTCACTAGGTTGTCCAGAGGTGGCTTTTATTCATTTGGTAGCCTAGGAAAGCCTTGAACCTGTGATGCTCCTACCTCGGCCTCCTGAACAGCTGGAGTTACAAGCCTGTACCACTGGCCTGGCTTGGAACCACATAGTTTTACTTTGCATTTCAGAATAACATCCATCACTTTTGTACCTAATGTCCTATGTTTAAGATCTGAAAGTCATTTCTAAATGCAGGGGAAGGAAACAATCTATAGTTATCTCAATAGATAAATTGAATATTTAACATGACTGTTTCTTTAAAAGTTAGATTATTTTATTCCTGTGGAGAGCAGGGCAATAAGAGAGAAATTATTAGACTTTAAAACATGGTAGCTAAGTTTTTTAGATAATACCTTTAGAAAGTTAATGTTTCTTGTCAAGTCACCTTTTCTAGGACCTTTTTCTTTCTACTCTAGGACACACATCACACGTTACAGAAGTAAGATGGCACTAGAATCCTGAAAGTGTTAAGGAGTATTCTTTGCAACCCACGACTGGAAATGCTTCATGTGAAGATGTTGCCTGCCGTAATGGCTTACCTGTGTCTCGGGGATGATGGGGCTGTCCTCCGGGGAAGACCTGAAGAAGGTGGATAATGGTGAAGACACGATGATAGGACTCGGCCTCACAAACCCACTGAGGTCACAGCTGGGGATGTCGTTCTCTTCTTTCTTCATGACAAGGGTATCCATCACATAAAAGACATTCCAGGGGATCCACACAGTATGGTACTGAGTGAGGAACGGGGAACGCTCGAATACCAGAGTCAGAGAAGCGCCACCATTTGCCACCAAGTCAAACCTAAGAACAGACAAGATGTACTTGGTATGACTAAGTTAGTGAGCTGTGACCATCCAATGACTGAGTTAGTGAGCTGTGACCATCCAATGACTGAGTTAGTGAGCTGTGACCATCCAATGACTAAGTTAGTGAGCTGTGACCATCCAATGACTGAGTGAGCTGTCACCATCCAGTGACTAAGTTAGTGAGCTGTGGGTGTACAATGACTAAGTTAGTGAGTTGGCATCATACAATGACTAAGTTAGTGAAGACTAAGTCAGTGAGCTGTCCGTCGTGTACAATGACTAACTTAGTGAGCTGTCACTGTATGATGACTAAGTCAGTGAGCTGTCAGTGTACAGTGACTAAGTCAGTGAGCTGTCACCATCCAATGACTAACTTAGTGCCCTGTCACTGTACAAAGACTAATGCTCACTTCGAGTTAAGTTGATTCCTAAAGTATCTTTCCTCCTAATTTTCATATGAAAGTTTCCAATCTCTGCCCAAATGGAATTCCGAAGCAAGCACCCGAACATTCCTTCTCTAGTCACCGAGCTATCTATTTGCATTTCCCTAACTTCCTATCTAGTCTTTGGAAGCATCTGAACTTAGTTACAGATGGTAAGAAACACCTCCAATAAATATTTCAACACCATTCTTTAAAGACAAAAACCATACTCTGACAGAACCACAGTATTATATCACGCCTCAGAAAACGGGATGAACTTTTACGGCATGTGAGTACATGACTCGTAATCCCTGCCTCCTGGGCTTTTAGAGCCTGAGAGTTGTTGCCTTCCTATTAAAAAAGACAATACAGTATGACGGGTGATGGGTGGATGCCCAGCCTCATGCTGAACGTCCTTTCCACAGAGACAGCGGGATGCAGCCGACTCACATTCCATCCTGGCGGGTAATGGTGTATCCGTACTCTGAGTAATGTAAAAACGACACATTGACGCCAATAAGTGGGGTTCCGTCAGCGGTTAGTACTTGGCCTCTGATGACGGACGCAAGGCTGTGGGAAAAGTACAAGAACTTGAATGAATCTCTGTCTTCTCTGGCCAACATTATCATGACTTATAGATAATTCAGGCCAAAGGTAAAAGTATCAGTATCATAAACAATCAAGTGCTATTCACAAGAAAGCAGATCTGAAACAGCCCCAAGACTACCTTCCTTTAAACTCAGAGTAATTTACTTCTCTAAATGCCTGGTGTTCACCCTGAGTTTTAATTTGCTGCAATCTATTTACTTTGGAGCATTATCAAGACTAGTAATTTTAAAAATTATAAATGATGCTTTTTTTCATATATCATATATATGACTTCTTGAAGAAAGGTATCCTTTCCAGTGAATTCTGGGGCAATCTGTAAATCTGCTGGGACCACGAAGTATAAGATTTAAGGGGGCAATAAGAAACATGTGTGCAACAGCTTCTAATCTGCTGCCGGGTCTCAGTGCATTAATGCTGTTCAATGACTACAGACCCAGGAGTTCTGCGTAAATCATCTTCCTTTGCTCAGCGAGACGCGAGACACCTGCTTTCAGTTTCTGGTTGATTTTCAGGTCATTACTGCTCTGTAAAACACCAGTCAGACAGCTTATGCAACTTCACTGCCATGCTGTTAGCAGGTCCATTACATTATTTCATAATTTATATTATTTAGTGAGCTCAGCTAAAAAAAAAAAGTGCACTTCTGTTTTGCCTTTTGGGGTTTTTTTTCATCGTGTCTTCTGAAATGTTTCCAACTGTGCTCAAAAAAAAAAAATCAACTGGTTAAATGAAGATTTATTGACTCCTTAATGGGATGTCCTGTTAAGTCTCAGGTATTGAAATTGATAAAGTATGTGAACAGTATCAGAAATGCTTGAAATGGGAAGTTTGGTGAAGAATTTTGCAAAAAAAAAAAAAAAAAAGGAAAGAAAATATAAGCAGTTTTCTCAAATACACACCCATCAGCATTTCACAGAAAGTGTGCGGAACTGTTCTCAAGACCCTTATGAGTCTATATAAGGAAAGCAAGCATTAACCTCTTATTGAATGGACTTTCTCCAGGGAGCACGTGGGTGCTATCCGATCCAATCAGGAAACTGATTCTGTCATAGAACGACTTGGCAGCTTGCTGAGATGGTGTCTGAAGGCTTTGGCTAATGATATCCTGAGGATCAGGCAAGCCACGGCAGTAGGGCTGGTTTTGGCAGGAGCTCTGGAGGCAGCAATCAGGATCCATGCAGTCAATGAGTCCATCTGCAGAGAGAGCAGCAAACCCGTTAGTCGGTTAGCTGGATCTGCTCCTTGGGCGGCACGCTGCTGACTTGTGTCTCCTGGCGGGTTTGTTTCGTGTCAGTTAACTTGCCACTGTGTACCTGACGGCTAGCTCTACTAGGCATCCTTTTGGAATCCTGACGAAGTACAGACATTGTACTCACATCTGCTTTTACTGAAGGTAAAGAGCTAGACTGAGAAGGGTTGCAAGTAATCATGTAACATTTATTCCCCATGAGGAATATGCATTACTGATTAGAACACCTTGTTAGTAGTAAGGAATCAGGACTAGTTGTAAACACAATTATTGAAGCTGTCTATGTTTTAGAGAAATACCCCAGGAGTTCCCATACTAGGCACATAGAAAAAACAGACAGGGACCCGTGTACAATGAAGCTCTAAAATTAGGAAAAGAACTGCAAAGACAGAGATGGGAAGGGGCTATGACAAACACGCTAACATGAAGTGGGTGAGTTTAGCCAGCCATTTTTCGTAGAAATACTTTTCCTAAGAAGCGTAAATTACATTCCAGCAGGGAGTAAGGCATTTCTCAAATTGATCTTCTTTGCTACCCCTAAAATGCAGTATTATTTTTTAAAAAAAAAACATGGCAAATGTAAATTAGTCATGGAGGTTATCGAAAATATCAGTCATGAAGCATAGACCTAGACGATATTTGTGACGTAAAGGAGCCTGGATGCAGTCACCGACGTCTTCGCTGAGAATATTATAAAGGAACACTTGGTGGCTCAGTCACGAGCCACACGACACATTTCTGTTAACCAGGAGCTGCATGTAAATCAGTGGTCTCAAAAGACCTAGCGCTGCTGCCTGCCTGCCCAGTGCACTGCCAGTCAGAGACTACTGGGCCGCAGGGGATATGCCATCAAGTGCATAATACTTCACAGTGATAAAAAATGATTATGTGGCTGGTTTACTACTTGTTTCATGATATCATCTGCCACCGCTTTACAGTATATTTCGTCGGATGTGATGAAGAAGGTCTTTTAAGTGATGTGCCTTGTTACGCCAACAGAAGCTTCTCAGGTCTCAGGATCACTGTCTCTCTTTAGAATACTAGGTGACAGTAAGTGACTGCCTTCTATGTCTAGGTTTCTGTAAGACATTCGGAAGTCTGTGCTGTGATCAAACGGTCCGGTGATGCAGGTCTCAGAATACATCTCCAGCATGAAGTGACGGAGGCCTGAATATATTCTGTGTGAGGCATGTCACCAACCATGTGACATGTGAGTGGCCGTCAGTCACTGCCATGACCCTGCTCTTTAAGCTTATTGTCTGTTCACCAGTTAAATACGTAAAACCGGATCCGCTTGGTAATTGCATCTCTTAGAATAGATTAATAAAAAATAGTGTAAAGATATCAAACATTCTTGGGTAACTGACAAGAGAGTGTGAAGCTACTTTACATGTAAGGAACAGGTAATCTTAGACCCTGGAAAACCCAGATGAAAAGTATTTAGATGATGTCTATGTTTTATTTATACAACTAAAAAAAAAAAAAACCCCTACTTTCAGTATTTAAAAAGTATCCTAATAATTTGCTTTGTACCATACTTAGTTTGCCCTATTCTTATCTGACAGCAAATGAAGACAGAAGGAGGTAACAGTGCCGAGAAGCTGGCAGGATTGCTCAGTGGGTAAACGTGCTGCTACCAGGGATTGTTTCCAACCTGAGTTTGATCCCCAAGACCCACATGGTGGAAGGAGAGAACTGACCCCCGAAAGCTGTCCTCTGACCTCCGTGTGCCTGCTGTAGTACATGCATACCCTTCAAAACAAATAAAAACACACTAAATTTTCTTAACAAAAGAAATAAATTTCCAGTCCAGGAGGAGGTGAACAACAACACAGGAGAGGTAAAAAACATGAGATGCAGGGTAGGACCCTTAGTCACGGTGTCCGATTGAACAGGAATAGAGCAGGCTTTCTGTTTACTTCATTCACTCCTGCCCTTCCTTGATTTTTCATTTCGATATATAGCTTCTCCAGCTCTCAGACCATGCACATACGCACACATACTCCCTTCATTGTGGTGCCGAAATTTCAGGGACTAAAAGTGTCAGGATGACTTCAGAAACTACATGAACAGAGCCTCTGCCTCTGTCCCTGATGTTCTCTGGGATGAAATGTAAGGTTGTACAGTAAGGACGGCTGCAGCTGTCTTTCTGCCACCATAGGACCTATCTGACAACTGGTCCATCCCAGAATAAGCAGAGTTAAAGGCTTGAGCAAAACCCAGCAGGTCATAAACACAGTGGCCTCCTTGGGGTCTTTTAATAAGCTGCCCTTGGCCTTCTAGAAGCTAAGGCATTCCTTTTTACTTTAAAGTCTATTTGGGTTGGATTTTTTTGTAATCCCTTGAAACTGGAAGAAGCTGAGACCATCCACAGACAGCAACTAAAATTCTCTGTTACGTCCTTTGAAGTTGGGGGAAGTGAATTCAATAGAGGGTACCTGACATATATTTATGATGCTACTCTCTTCTTACGTAAGCATTTTAAATGATTGTGATAATTTCTAGACCCGTAGAAATGAATGGGTCTGAATTTCTGATGAGAGAGAGTACATATTTTTCTTTATAGGTGCCATTTTTACACAGATATTGCTCATTACGAAGGTCATGGGTTGTTGACTGTTTGAAGCAGCACGCTTATTTCTTTGACAAAAATCTAAAACCATGTGTTAAGATAATCAAATGAAACTGAGCTTTGAAATTTCATGGAAATTTATCAAAATATTTCTTTCCTACTGGAAGAGCCATAAAGATGAAAAATGTATAAATATTTCTTGATATTTCTAATGGAAGAAAGATGAGGCCATGCTGAGGCCTTATTCTTCATGAGGATATATTACAATAATAATGTGATAAGATTTCCTTTTCTCTCCCTCTCTTGGAATAGAAGCATAGATTTCAAGATCTAGTTCCCTCAAGTAGTAGATGATGGGCCTATGGCTCCTGTATCATTTTTGGCTTCAAAAACAAAATAAAACAACTCCTTAAAACCAACTTTAGCCATTAAGTGGTGATGTATGATCATATGGCAAGTCTCTATGGGATTCTTTAGTATATGTTCTATGATCTATTTCACTTAGGTACTCTTAGTGCGTAGCTTTAGAGAGTAACTATATGCTTGAGAGAGTAATTAAACATTGTTCTTTTATATTCCTATAGTATCTCCCCCCATAAACACTCCTCCACAGGGACAGTACCTTCAAATATTATATTTAATCTCCATTAATCTGGTGAATTAAGAGTTAACGGCTCTCATCCCAATATTGCCACACTGCCCTCCCTTAGGCAATATATGGTCCAGCTGCCAGAGAGGAGTGCTCAGATTTAGCTATTCATCTTTGTTAGTTGATAAAAAGCAAATGTACATCTGGCATGTAGTCTGCAGGTCATAAAACTACACGAGATTGACACCTTCTGAACTAATCAGTTGGAAATGCATTTTTACAAGCTTCTCCGCTAACATCCATCAGAGGAAGGATCTCATTTTCAACAGGCGAGATGCAGGGACACACTGTTTGTTATTTTTTTGTGTGTGCAGAGTTTATCAGTAACTTGCCCAAGCAAGTGACGGATGGTTATGAATCTGGCTTCCTATAAGTTGAGAAGACATTTTTCATTCTCTGCCTACACTCACGGCAGAGAGGCCTATCTGGTACAACTAAGTTGATTACGCACTTGCTCAAATGTACAGCGTTGCAAAAGCGGTCTCTGTGGAATAGCTTCTCAAAATCGCTGGGATTCCATGATGGTCGCAAGAATGCTACGGTGGCTTACATTTAGCCTGGAATAGGCATCATTTTTTAACAACATTAATCGTGAAAAACCGAAAGATCAGAAAATGTCAAAGCTCGCTGAACAGCAACCTTCATTATTAGTGAAGAGCCTTTCTTCACGTCAGGTTGCGTTGTAAGTAGCACTCTGATGTAAAGTAGACGTGTAATTTATGCCTTCCTCCATTCGACTCGTAACATGATTGCTTTAGTTATATTCTGTCCATATTTTAAAGACACTCTTGTCCTCCCCGAGGCAATCGCCGGTCTTTAATAGTGGTTAGTTAAGTTTATTTTTATAGATTGCCAAAGAGTGAGTATTTTAGGTTTTGTGAGCCATGTAACTGTGAAGCAGTCCCTGCAAAGGAGCACTGACAACAGATAAGAGGATGGATTCGACCATCAGAGTTTCAGTCAGAGTTTATTTACAAACATCAGCCCGTGGCCACAGTGGCCAACCTCTGGTCTCGCCTCTGGGTTTCTACCCTGTCCTTTTTTTTTTTTTAAATAACATTTTAAGTCACTTTATATCATCCTTGATACATTTTTCTGTCAGATTTAAGCAGTACATCTTCAGTCAAATTATTAAGCTCAGGCTCCCAGCTTTTCCCAGATTACCTTTTATGCTGGCCTTGTTCTGTTTCCTCAGCCTCTCATTTTTTTTTTGTTTCTAAATTTTTTATCCACTGATGGGGGGGGGGGCAGGGACCGTGGAAGATAGAAGGCTTCTCTTTTCCTTAGAGCTGATTACTGTCTACTGCCTTTGTTCCTCACCTCTGCAAGGTCCCAGTGCCGAGGCAGGATTGTGGTTGTGAGATTTCATCAGTGTGCCGTGCACAGTTCACGGCTCTTCCCAGTGAACATTTTCCTTCCCCCGTTTCTCCAATTTCGTGAATGGTACCAACCACTCTACCTATATCACTTTTTCTTTGTAAAGGTGGTACATTTACACAATGGAGTATTACTCAGCTATTAAAAGCAATGAATTCGAGAAATTCTTAGGTAAAGGGATGGAACTAGAAAATACCATCCTGAGTGAGGTAACCCAGTCACACATGGTATGTACTCACTGATAAGTGGATATTAGCCCAGAAGCTCGCAATACCCAAGATACAACTCATAGACCACATGAAGCTCATGAAGAAGGAAGACCAAGTGTGGGTGCTTCCGTCCTTCTTAGAAGGAGCAACAAAATTCTCAAGGGAGCAAATATGGAGACAAAATGTGGGATAAAAACTGAAGGAGGGGCCATCTGGAGACCATTCCACCTGGGTATCCATCCCATGTGCAGTCACCAAAGGTAGATGCTGATGTGGATGTCAGGAAGTGCATGCTGACAGGAGCCTGATATAGCTGTCTCTTTAATGGTCTGCCAGAGCCTGACATATACAGAGGCAGATGCTCACAGCTAACCATTGAACTGACCAAGGGGTTCCCAATGGAGGAGTGAGAGAGAAGACTGAAGGAGCTGAAAGGGTTTGCGGCCCCACGGAGAGAGCAACAATCCCAACCAACCAGAGCTCCCAGGGTCTAAACCACCAGCCTGGGAGCACATAGGGAGGGACTCATGGCTCCATCTGTATATGTAGGGGAGGATGGCCTTGTCAGGCATAGGTAGGAGATCCTTGGCCTCATGAAGGCTGGACACTGAGTGTGGGGCAATTCGAGGGTGGGGAGGTGGGAGTGGGGGGTTGATGGGGGCACATCCTCATAGAAGGAGGAGGGAGGACGGGATAGAGGGTTCCTGGGCAGGAGGGGGGGAGGAAATGAGGTAAGGGGATAACATCTGAAATGTAAAAAACACCTGTGCTCTAAAGAATAAATCCAAGGCCTTGACCTTGCAGGCAGGAACTTTATCTCAACAAGTAGAAATGTCCTGTGGGTTGTCTGTGTTTCTTTCCCACTCTCAGACACTATCTATTCCTAAAGTTCTTGTATGTTTTTCACTCTAACAGTTACTTCAAAGTGCTACTCATCGGGGCTGGAGAGATGGCTCAGCGGTTAAGAGCACTGGCTGCTCTACCAGAGAAGTGAGGTTCAATACCCAGCAACCATATGGCAGCTCACAACTGTCTGTAACTCCAGTTCCAGGGGATTGGACACTCCCATATAAGCACAGCATACATGAAACACCAATGGATATAAAATAAAAATAAATAATTTAAAAAAGTGCTGTTCATCAACTATAGATATTAAGAAAGCCATAGAATTGTAAAACAAACAAACGAACAAAACAACCCAGTGCACATGGCAGCTGTTTGAACCTTAAAAAGACTTGGCTGCAGGTTTACTTCCTGTGAATGCATAGGTAATAAGAGTGAATAAGGACTCTGGTCCATCTATTCTACTAGTGGGCCCTTCTTGCTCCTTCAGAAGCTCCTGTCCATTGTTTGGAAATCTGAAGTCACTATGACAACTGGCCTTGTTCCTGAAAGACAACAGGAAGGACCCAGGAAGGCAAGAACTGGTACCTTCTTAGTGACCTTAGTGATCCAGGAAGGCAAGTGACCAGTAGCTTCTTTATAATCAGACAATGGTGATGGTCAGTATGAGAAAAGGAAAACTAGCGTAGAGTAGAGGAAAAACACTGGAGAAGAACACATTTAGCTATTTCCCTGTAATCACTTGTTTATCTAAACATATATTTACCTACTTACCTACCAATCTACCTATCTATCATCATATATCTACTGAGCTATCTATCATCTATATATTTTTCTGTCTGCCTATCTATCTATCCATCTATTACTCATCTATCTATCTATCTATCTATCTATCTATCTATCTATCTATCTATATTCATTATACATTGTATTGTGTTTTATGAAGACATTTTTACATAAGCCTATTTCTTTGACCGTACTTTAATCTATCTTTGTCACTTCTGAGAATGGTAAACCACTTTCCCTGTCTTTTTCACAGACTGTTCAAACAAGACAAGAGCACACACACAGACACATACACACAGACACACACAGACACACACACACACACAGACACAGACACACACACACACACACACACACACACACACACACACATTCTGTGTTTAATTTCTGGCTAGGGCCAATTAACCTCTTCTCCCACTCTTCTTCAGTTACTTAATATGCCAAGTCAAGTTACTTAGAAGTGTGCTGGCTGATTCAATATTCTGACATCAAACGTAACCTTAGATAATGGCTTTACAACATCCCACTGTGCAGATGTCCTTAAATTTCTGTCCCTCCTGAATTTTAAGCCTCCTGCCCTATTGTTCTTTCTGTTATAGGATCCCCCTATCCTGAATAGATAGGTCATGTATCGTGATCATCTTTAGTATGGCAGATACTGTCTCCAAGGCACTACCATGTGCCTATATCAAAGAACCCTCTAGCTTGGGCTACCCAGGCACTCAGATTACCACCTCAGGATATGATGAAGGCAGCCCTGAAATTCCTTCTTTGAAGAACAACAAAATTAGGTTACGGACAGCCATGCAAATTCTGTGAGATAATAGAGAATTCACAGGAGTGGTTCTATCAGCTCCGATTTCCCCTCAGAGAGAGAAGCTGAGAGACAGCAGTTCATGCTAATAAGAATAAACAAAGGGGGAATGGGGCCAATTCACAGTTGATAAATTTTTGAGGAAAAGGAAAAACCTCCTTGGCTGATAATAATACCAAAGAGTTGATTAGCCCCTAAATTACTCTGCCTTGTCTCTACAGGCTTGGCCTGCAGTTTGCATCCCTCTGAGAGCAAGTAGGACCTCCTCAAAGTAATCTCCTTTTAGAGGACTACAAAAACCTGGAACACACAATCAAGGAGAAAGAGTCACTCTTCTCCCCTGGCGCCAGAGACAATGGGATTGGAGCTCTTTGGGGGAAAGCAAGGAGTTAGGTTGCCATCTGGGCTATGTCTCAGAGAGGATTAATGCTGCCATTTCTGTAAGCACGTGATCACCAGGAGTTTGGGCAACAAGGTATTATTAGCTAGGAAAGCTCTGAGGGTTAGCAACGGCTGGAATCCATTAGAGGCGGGGGAGGAAAGAAGGCTTTTTAAGTAGGGTTACTGACTTGTCTTGGTAGCCAAGGAAAGTAACTCGGGAAGAGAGTCAAACTGTCTGCAAGAAAGTTAACCAGTTGCCTGTGGTAGAGGATATGACCTGTGCTGAGGGATGCTGGCTCAGTCACTGGAGGGGAGGAGTTAGGCCCCACTCTACCGGTCTTCTTTAGCAACCTTCTAGGACTAGTCAAGATAAGTACCTGGGAAATACAAGAGGGAAACCCTGAGTGTCGATGGCTGCAACACGTTGAACAATCTCAACACATTTTTTTTTCACTTAAAGCCTTCAGAGCCTTTTATTTCTATTTTGTAGGTGAAGCAGTAGAGGGCCGAGTGACAGATGGGCCTGAACACTGTGGCATTCCTACACAGTGGAGGGGAGATCTCCTTCCTCTATAAAACCTGTGCTCTCTAGCCAACACCACTTTGTAGTGTCCTGGAAGATGGCTATCTTCCAGGAGAGCAGGGTTGGAGGGCTGAGGAGGCTGAAACAAGTTAAGGCCTTCACCCGAGGAGGTGATCTCAGACTCAGACATCAACCCCACCCGCCACCAGATTCGCTTCTAATGGTTTGTCAAAATTAAACAGCTGTCAGGGGCAACTATTCCATCACCAACTACCATTCTCTATTCACTGAAATTAAAATACAATAGCATGGGGGATGCACTCAAAGGGGAGAATAATTATTCCTAGCCGAAGGCTTAAATTGGGTGGAATATCACAATCCTTTTATAGGGGTGTAAAGTTAAGGATAAAAAGACAGTGGAATTCAGCTTCAAGGGGACTGTTCTCCCTTGCTGTCTTTTTTTCTTCTTCTTTCTTGTCCCCCACCGATAGTTTTCAACAGAAGAGCTTGAAAAATAAATGCCTGGCATCTTCTGGCTTGTTTAGTTATTAAAATACTTCTGGGGCACTCCCAACACACACTGCTCTGAATACCACTGTTGAGGAGGATAGTCACCCGGGATTCAGAAAAAGGAATGGTGAACAATGGACGTTTTACAGTAGCTCGGTAACCTTGCCTCTTCTGTGAACGACAATCACCAGGTTTTCCTTTCAGGACGACCAGGGAGCGCAATCCAACCATCGGCACACATACATTTTCAATCAGTCTAATCTACAGGGATCTGCTTTTTTCTTTCCAACAGATACTTATGCAGTCACTGTAACTTACAGACCCAGGCTTTGGCACACACTTTGTTTTCAGCCTTCCCTTACCTCCTTCGTTGTCTTTGCTGTCTGTACAGAGAGTCTCCATGGCTACATCACAGCCTGCTCCTCTCCACCCTGGCTGGCAAACACAATGCCAGCCGTTTTGGTCCAGTGTACATCTCCCATTGCTGTTGCACAAGCCGGGGCAACCCTCTGTCAAGACAAGGAAGCAAAACAGCAGTGATTTGAGTATTGAAAGACTTTGCATCTGAAGGAAACAGATACAGGACACTTAGTGGGAACAGGCCTTTATAAACAGCACAAAGACTGTAATTGCACATGGATAGAAACAGCAACATTATCCAAGGAATGTAATTCTTATCCAAGTGGCATCTTTGATTGGCCTGACCCTTGAGACACCACTTACCTGTGTAGGACAGAAATATATGCAACGACCCACTAAGTAGCTTCAGGCCAGACAAAATTAACTTGACATTTTTTTCCCCTTTCACAAAGCAACAAGGTATATAGTATATGGTTTGGAAGAACATCTCAGGAAAATAATGTCAGAACCCCTTGTTCCAAGTTTTGATCCGTTGCAAACATTGCTAGAAGCTTCTTTTTAAAGCACCTTGTTGCTTTTGTAAAAAAAAAAAAAAAAAAACCAAAAAAACAAATTTCCCCTAAATTCAAGAACATGAGTGTGGATATGAATTTATGAACAATGTTTAAGAAGAGAATATTAATTTTATCTGGCCTCAGAGTTGCCGAATATTCATGTGAAATTACAGTGTATTAAATAATCACACAAAGTATAGGTCAGTATTAATGACTATACTTTATGCCAAGAGTACATTCCTTTTCACAGAATAAGCAAAGCCCAGGAGAGGAGAAGCAGCTTCAGCATCTATTCTAACAAACATTAGGATTCAGGCTGCATACGGATGGGACAGGACCAACAGGGTTTCCAACTAAATGTAATAGCTGTGCATATTTGATTACTTAGGACGGACAAAATGAAATACCATAAGGACCACAATAAAACATCAATAGACTAAACAAAAACACGGTAGTGGCGTGCTTCAAGACAGATAGCGAGGGGTGATATTTTGTGACAATCTCCCTAAGGCTTTTATGCTGTTACCTTTATATCCTATCTTGTCTGCTTTTATGGGCAAGAAGGGAAAATTTGGGAAATAATTAATTTAAATATATCCAAAATTGAAAATTGTCTCAGTCTAACATAATTTTTTCCCCCCCAAAAAAATCAAATTTTGTCACTGCCTACTGATGACATCTGGCATGCAGCCAACATGATCTACTTATGAAGGATGATGGTCAGGTGGATTCTGCAGTCCCTGTTTATGAGTGTGACATGGCGCTGACAGAGATAAGGATTAAATGCTCTAAACTCCTGCAATGACCTGGCTAGCAATCAAGTCTCTTTGGCTAACTGTTAATCACTTGGTGTAAAATACAGATAATAAAACACTTGCTCCAGTAACTGGGGGTTGCTACACAGCTCCTTATTATGAGAACACCCCACTTGTTTCAGGTCTATGCTTTAACGGAGCAACGTGCTGTAAGATGTTTAGTCTGTATTCAAATAATCATTCACGTATGGCTCTCCAGTGTGGAACCTGAGAAGGAAATATCTCAAAGAGACGGTCTGTTTCTTAAGCTCTTCCAGTTACAGCCAACAGGAAGAAGGTTGCCTTCTGACAAAATGATACTTAAGGATACCATCAGGCCAGGATGAGATTAATTTTGCGGCTTATTTTGCCTTTAGACAGCTACCGTCTGCATCTATGGATTGTTCATACATTAAAGGTAAGTGTTCCTTTTTCAGTGTGCTCTCTTGTGGTTTTTTACTGAAGTAGAAGTATTTAATTGCCCCTCTGCCAGTGTGCAGCAGGAGTTGCTGCTGGCACATGGAATCAGGATCAGAAAGCCTGGGTATTGCCATGAATATTTTCATATTCTAATGGAAAACACAAACAAGGGAAGGAAAATAGGTCATCTGAGGAGAAAGAGGGAGGGGTTTTGTCTGCGTACAGCATCACTCTACCTATTTCTATGGTAACTGAAGACGTGAGCCTCTGCTGTTTTTTGCTGAGCAACGTTATCAGTTCTGATGCAATGGCATGCACGAGGTTTTGTAGTTTTTTAAGAATAACAAAACAGAAACTATGGCATTGTCTATACATATATACTGACATATTTAGAAAGAGCCAAAGAAGCTTCCATCTGAGGATAGATGAGATTATTCTCTCCTCTCAACATCCGTTAGCCAGAATGCTCTTTAGAGTGGCAACTCTTATTCTGTGATAAGAGTATTTATGATTCTTTAATTTATAATTTAAGGCTCATTAGCTGAGTTGCGAACCACGAAGATTTTGAAGCAAAATAAAGTGAAACCAAAAAACAGCAAATGTACTGTAATCTTCAGTTTCGGTTTTAGTGAAAACTATCGTTTTACGTTGGAATGAAATCTGCGAGAACCCAAAATTATAAAAATGAGACACAGACAATGTAAGTCTCAATAATTTAAATCCGAGGCATCTCACACAACGTAAGCCCAAGTTACAATTTACAAAGATAGGCATGAAAATGTCTACTGTTACACCTAGCGCAATCTGATACACAGCTATATAGTTATTTATGCAGATATGTCAACAAACAGTAGATGTACAGTACCTTTAACTATCTTATCCAAATAGTGAGCTTGGGAGATTAAAAAGGAAAAAAAGAACAGACAGACATTTCAGAAGTGTCACATGGGACAAGGAAAATTTCAGAATTCACATGCAAATCCAGTAGCTGCAGCTGACACAGACTCACATCACATGACAGAGATGTACTTCGGATCTTCTAAAAATGCACTACGCTCAATTTTAGTCAATGTGGTCATGACGCCAGGAACCACGCAGCACTTTAAAGATCAGTCTGGGGGATGCTAACACCTCCCTGCACGGGTTCTTTGGAATACGTGCTGTTCTCATTCTTGCTAAGACTACAGCTAAGTAGACTTGGTTGGAATGGGGTCTCTGTGACTAGAGAATTTTGGGAATTTACTGCTATGAGATCTACAGTAACCAAAGTTTAACAGTTAATAAGTAAATTGGCATCACGGAAAAGAATGAAATGAAAAATCGGCAGACAAATGTACTTTCATCCTACTTGGAAAAGGGTATCTGAAGCCCTGTAGGAGTCTCCAGTAGCCTTTGGCTCCAAGCCAGACGGACAAGCCGCTTCACATATGTAGTCCATTAGGGAACAGGAGTGGTCCAAGACATTGTTTCATCTCAAGGACCATCTTGAAGTAGGCTGTTTTTCTCACCAAGTTTACAGGACCAGCTGGACTAAGACTGTCTCTCTAGCTGCCTGTGTACCACTTATCTTTCTGAGACATACATAAAGCCTCTCTCCCGTCACTCATGGCAGAGACCTAATATATTCTTAATAAGCCTCAAATCTTCTTGCTTTGTCAAAATTCATACATCTTTAATGATCTAAAATTGCTTTTCAAAGGTGCTTATGTTGATTATTTTTCATTCCTGACATATGCAAGTGACAGCAGTACTCAACAGGATGATTTACATGGTAACTTTCGCAGGAGACACTCCGGTCTGCTGGCTGTGTCATGTGGGTAAACAAACCCATAAGTGGTTTTGACACATCTGTACTGTGTATATAAAAGGATCTTTCGCTTTGCCACAGGATTCCATTAGAGGCTTCTGAATTGCCTTTAAAAATAAGAACGTTTATGGCTAATTGACAATATATTACAAGGGAAATTAAGGTGAAAGGAGAAATGTCATTAGGTCTATTCTGCATTCATAACTTAGTAAGCATAATTCATTTCTTAAGCATTAAAGAAGAAATGTATTACTGCATCATGACACTGATACGAATTTTTAATAATTCCTTCTAAGTATTATATAATCTGCAGAGTTCTATAATAGCTCACTGGGCGATCTGCACGAAATCGTAACAATATTAATAATCTAGAATTTCCGATTCAGGCAGGGTAGTGTTTCCAAGGGACTTCTTAGTTCACAAAAATTAGTTACACTGATTACAGCCAGCCAGTATATCATGTGCTTTTATATCAGATCTGCTACAATTAATGCAAACAAAATAAAGAACAGATTCTGATCTCTATTAGTAGGTTTAAGGGGACTGAGCTTTTTCTGACCAGTCAGCCCTGGTTAATTTAGCAAACAGAGTCAATTATGCAAAGCAAAGGGTTGATGCACAGTAAAGGTAGGGCTGTCATTGGCTCGGGTGTATACCAAAAAGAGAAGCTGAAATTAGAAAATGCATTTGAAAATACACAGTGAATGATAATTAGCACAACACTTTAAGTATTAGAAGTATTTTAACACAGCATTCACGAAAAACTAAAAAGCAGCTATGAAAATATTTGTACTGAGAATAAGATACCAAGATTTATCATTTTCATGCCACAAGGAACATATTAAACATCATAAAGAATCACTGATAGCTTAAGACTAAGATTAAAAACAATCACCTATATTTTACTTCCAAGGGTAAAGTTTGTGATGACAACCACAAAAGCCTGATTCCGAGTAATGAAGAAGGTGAAAGGAAATGTGGACACATGACGTTAAAATAGTTAGGAAAATAATTGCAACAATAAAAATATCATTATAGAAGCCAGTGCAGGAAATAATCAGAAAAATGCAGGAGTGTTGCAAGAAGCCATTAGGAATAATAATCGTAAAAACAGTACAGTATAGTTAAAAATTAATATACCTAACAGTTGCTGATATGCACATTAGGTTGCAGAGAAATTACTTTGAAAGTGTATGTTTTAACTTAAAAGAATACCAACTACTTATGTCAAGTTTTAAGGTCTTTCTCTCCCCCCCATGGAACTTTCTTATAGGTGTGTGGGCTAGTCATTTAAGAAAGGCTATTATTATGTTTTATTCATGAAATAGTTTCCTTGGCATTTAGAGTATTTATCTTTTAAGAGGATCCACATGGAACACAATGAGAGTATTTCCATATTTCTTATAGGGTGATCATTTCTCAAGATTTATTTTGGGTTTTATATCCAAGAGAAATGGTGACAGATGGATTGTGAAAACCACATAACACCACCAATACCACCAATTGTCAAAGACAATTCTAGATCCTTCTCTGAGCTCTGCTTCTGAGTGCCTTGTATATTACGAGCACTTGGC